GAAACGAGCAAAGTAAAATGAATGAGGAAAAAGACGATTACGGAGGTTAGCTTCAGTACACATTTGATTTTTGACGCACTTGGTGATGGTAGTCGCTGATTTTCTTTCATTGCTGTCTCAGTTGAGTGTCACAAGTCAACATATTCTCTTTGAGATTAATTTGACTCTGCATGATTTTTATTCATATTTCTTCAAGAAGGGAAAATATTTTTTCATCACTTTACACTCAGAGATTTGACGGCCATGTCAAGACTTGAAATTGGCATAATGCTATTGAAAAAATTGCTATGGCATCATCGGACGTATGCATCAAAACCAATGCTGGTTATGATCTCTGAGCTGGAAGATGTGAGAGATACACTCTCTACGGCAAACTCAATCTGATCTCCAGTTCATTGTCTTGATGAATTGGTTATGCAAATCTGGTTTGTCAATAGAGAAATTGGAAGCTTTCCAAAGGTTTCCAAAGGTAACTTGGTGTTCGGTAGAGGAAGAAAGTTCAACACCCTCTACTACACCCAGGCCAAAGTTTGCACAGGAGTGGTGAATGCAGTTGAAGATTTATCTGCTGAGTTGTGGCACCAACGACTTGGTCATTTGAGTGAGAAAGGAATGGAGACTCTCACTAAGAAGAAAATGCTATCTCTAAAAGGTTTGCCTCTAAAAATATGCACTGATTGTTTGTCTGGTAAACAACATAGAGTTTCCTTTCATAGATCCCCTTCTCCATCTAGAAAACCTGGTATTCTAGAATTGGTACACACTTACACACTTGAGTTTTGCTTCACCATGATGGCTGACAAAATGACAAATCCTTGAGTGGTTGTTCATATTAGGTCAGCTTTGTTGATGACCATTCTAGAAAGGTGTGGGCTTTACCAATAAAGTCAAAAGACCAGGTGCGGGATATGTTTAAAATCTTTCATATCAGTGTTGAAAGACAAACAGGAAGAAAGCTAAAATGTGTTAGAGCTGATAATGGTGGTGAGTACAGAGGACCATTTGAGAAGTATTGCTCAGAACACGGCATCAGACTTCAGAAGACAGTTCCCAAAACTCCACAACAAAATAGAGTTGCAAAGAGAATGAACAGGACTATTGTTGAAAGGGTTAGATGTATGCTCTTTCATGCTAAACTTCCGAAAACCTATTGGGCTGAAGCAATGAATACTGCAGTTTACTTGATCAACCTTTCACCTTCAACCTCCCTCAACGGAGATGTACCAGAAAAGGTGTGGTCACCTCAACGGAGATGTACCAGAAAAGGTGTGGTCAGGAAAAAATATTTCTTACGATCATCTAAGAATATTTGGATACAGGGCTTTTGTTCATATTCCAAAAGATGAAAGATCCAAGCTTGATTCGAAGTCAAAACAGTGTATCTTTTTAGGCTATGGAAATGATGATTTTGGGTACAGATTATGGGATCCAGTTGAAAAGAAGCTCATCAGAAGTAGAGATGTCATATTCCTGGAAGACCAAATCATTGAAGACTTTGAGAAAAATGAAAAGCCAAAGTCTATCAATGTGTTTCCTGTTAGTCTTGATGCAGAACCTCATGTAGAGCTACAAAACGATGAAGAAGATGATGGTGAACCTGTTCAGAATGATGCTGAACCAGCTCCAATAGAAGAACTGCCTCAATTGAGAAGATCTGCGAGAGGCAAGAAAACTGCCTCAATTGAGGAAGATCTGCGAAGAGGCAGGATACACTTCCCAGAGATATTCTCCCTGATGATATGACTTTGTTGGCTCAAGGGGGAGAACCAGAGAACTACCAGGAGCAATGGAAATTGTAAAAGAATGGGAGTGGTGGAAACAGCTCATGCAAGATGAGCATGGAGTCTTGCATGAGAACCGGACGTATGAGTTGTGAAACTTGCCCCTTCAAGGTAAGAAGGCACTGAAAAAACAAATGGTTGTTTCAGGTTGAAGACCTTGAACAGAACAACTCACAGGCCAAGGTAACAAGGCAAGACTTTGTTGTGGAGGGATTCGTGTCAGAAGAAACGAGTTTGATTTCGAAGAAGAAATTTTCTCACCCGGAGTCAAGATGTCTTCATATCAGGAAGTTATAGCTCAAAAGAGAATTTAGCAGCTAGCTTGAATTTGGAAGAGATGAATTTTTATCTTTTGTATTTTTGAAGCAACTTGATGTAAAAAGACCGCTTCGCCATATTGGCTGACTTAGAGAAGGAAAGTTCTACCAGAAGGGTTCAGAGTCAAAGGCAAAGAACACTTGGTGTGTAAATTGCAAAAAAGCTTGTATGGCCTCAAACAAGCTCCCAAACAATGGTACAAAAAAGTTTGACTCTTTCGTGGTAAATCACGGGTATGAGAAAACTACTTCTGATCATTGTGTATTTGTGAAAAAGTTCATAGAAGGCGACTTTATTATTCTCTTATTATATATGGATGATATGCTTATTGTGGGCCAAGATGCTAAGAAAATTGAGAGCTTGAAAAAGGAGCTTGGAAATCCTTTGCCATGAAGGATTTGGGATCGAGGATCGGCAAAACAGATTCTCAGAATGAAGATGTCTAGAGACAGGAAACAAAGAAAGTTGTGGCTATCTCAAGAGAAGTACATAGAGAAAATTCTCAGCAGATTCAACATGAGCAATGCGAAACCAGTTTGAACTCCACTTGCAAGTCATTTCAAATTAAGTCTCAGTCAATGTCCTTCAAGTGAGAAAGAAAAAGAAGAATTGAAGAATATTCCTTATGCATCCGCCTTTGGCAGCTTGATGTACGCCATGGTATGCACAAAACCGGATATTGCTCATGCTGTTGGTGTTGTTAGCCGATTTCTTTCAAATCTAGGTAAAGAACACTAGAATGCAGTGAAGTGGATTCTCAGGTATCTTAAGGTATCTTAAGGGCACTTCCAAAATCTGCTTATATTTTGGTGATAATAGACCTGTGTTAGATGGTTACACAGATGCAGATATGGGTGGTGATGTTGATTCGCGCAAATTAACTTCGGGATATCTGATGACCTTTGCACGAGCAGCAATTTCTTGGCAATCAAAATTACAAAAATGTGTTGCACTCTCATCCATTGAGGCAGAATATATCGCCATTACAAAAGCTAGCAAAGAACTCTTGTGGATGAAGAAATTCCTACAAGAATTAGGTGTAGAACAAGAGAAGTACATTCTGCTATGTGATAGTCAAAGCGCGGTACATCTCAGCAAGAATTCGACCTTTCATTTAAGGTCAAAGCATATTGATGTGAGGTATCATTGGATACGTGATGCGCTGGAGATGAAGTTATTTCAGATTGAAATGGTTCACACTGATGATAATGGCGCTGACATGATGACTAAAGCTTTACCTACGGAGAAACTTGTCACTTGCAGAAAGATAGCCGATATGGCTAACGTCCCCACTTGAGTGTGCAGGGGGAGTGTGCAGGGGAGATTTGTTGTGGCGGTGCCCACTCAGTGGGACCCACATTTGAAATTTAAAAAAAAAGAAAGGAAAACGTGGTAGGTCCCTCCGACATGTGAGACCCACACAGTTGAAAAAGGAAGAAGAAAATTGGAGAAAGAAGAAAATTTTCTTTGGTAGGTGATTTGTTTTTCTGTGAACGCGTGATTAACACATCCACCTCTCCTATAAATAGGAGATGGCGCTGGAGCTTCACACACAAAAACACAAGCTGAGCAAAAGCAAAAAAAAAAAAGAGATTTAGAGAGTTTCAGTTTTAGAAAGGGTTCTAAAACTAGGGTAGAGAAAATAGTGAAGATAATTTGGGGTGTTTTTGGAAAAAAAAAAAAAAAAGAGATTTAGAGAGTTTCAGTTTTAGAAAGGGTTCTAAAACTAGGGTAGAGAAAATAGTGAAGATAATTTGGGGTGTTTTTTTGGAAAACACTTTTTTGAGTGCCACTGTTTTTATATTACTCTCTTTGTAAGCCTACTATTTTTAGTGGAAGAAATATTCAGAGTTGGTCTCGTGGACGTAGCCCTAAACAATTAAAGGGTGAACCATGTAAATATCTGTATGTCATATTTCTATTTTTCCGCTGTGTTATTATTTTCGTAATTTTATTGCTGAGGCCCTAACAAGAAGTACCAGACACAAGTATGTCCTCTAGGTACGTATCTTCTGGGAATTGACTATCTCATGGTAATGGTAGTTGAAGGGAAGGAGAGAACTCAAAAGGAATGTGAAAAACTTATGCAGACTCTCTGGATTTTCAAAATTGTTATTGGCTTGTCCTGCTTTTGATATTTGGAGTCATTGAATTTAGTAAATAATTACTTCATTTCCTTCTGGTTATCATCGTGTATTTTCATTTTATTTTTGTAATTTGTAGTCCAGTAATTGAGTACTTCATATTGCAATAAAAATCTTAAGATTTTTCTACTTTTTTGAGCGTTGTTATCTCTGAATGTACTTCTCCCGAACTTTTAAGGTTCAAAAAACATTTTTGAAGTAAGACAATTTTGTTTCTGAAATCATTTCATTTGATACCTTAAAAAGAGAGGGGGGAGGGGGACATGGGTTCGATTCATTTACAATCAAGGGTTTGAATCTCATCTTGACAAAAACTTAAATTTTTAATAGGAAAAATTATAACCATACCCCACATTTTGCTAATATATATCTTTTTTAAAAATAAATTGCCATACCCTATATTTTGAAACTCTTAAACTAGATTGTCCCGCCGTCCAATATTTGGGATTTTAGATGTTAATTGAATCATATAGAGGTCATCGCAATGGTAATTCTAAATGTTTTTGCGGGACAAGCGGCCCTTATGATCCCTCATTTATAATTATACGAAGTCCACCTAAGCAAACCACCCTCGACGCATATCATTGTATTTCATATTTTACATTATGCTGAAATTGTAGGTTAGAACTTCCACCTGGTACTGTCATTTCCACTTAATTAATAATCTTGAAAATGTTGATTTAAGTCGCTAAATTTTATTTTTAAAGTCAAATTCACATATTCTAATAATAAAACGTCAAAACAATTCCCTCTCAAATTATGTTTTCCAACATATTAAATAATATATTAAAAAAAGTAATTTAGTCTCAATCCCAAACAGATTATCAATCTAGCTCGCAGAGATTGCAACTATTAGCTCATAAGTGGGCTCTTAAATTGTAATAAACGATTAGTTTTACAATGTTATAAGCATTCTTGAGGGTTTTCAAGATCAAAGAATTTTGAAAAAGAGAGGGGAAAATGCTCACTGAATCAAGAAATACTCTTGAGGGACAGCATCAATGCATCTGTTTGTTCAGGTTTTCCGACAGATATCCGAATATAACCCTTCAGTTCTTTGTTATTGTAGTGTCGGACCATCACGCCCATATTCGCAAGATCATCCTGCAATAAATTAAATTTGTCACCACAAAATTTCTTTCCAAAGAAGAGTATATAAGTTAAAATTATATTTATGAATGTATTTAGGAGTTCATGCATTGATCAACGAAAGCAACACCTAAAACAATAAACCTCAGTCAACAGAGTAAATACAGCAACAAAATCTAATTTGAGGCTTAATTTGCATTCATGCTATTAACATATACAGGAGTGAGCATTTGGTTGGTTCAGTTCAAACCGAACCAAACCAATGCTCTCCCAAAGAAAGCAAAAAGACAAAAGAAAAGAAATCGAATTTTAATAGGATATAAATCAAACCGAACCCAAACAGTTTGGTTTTAACTATTTTAGGGGAGATTTAGGCTCCATAACCGAACCTAACCAAACTGATCATGTAACAAACTGAACTGAACCAAACCAGTTCAGATCGGGGTTTGTTTCATTTTACTAAGCTTTGCTCAGACCAAAGAGTTTATCAGATATAGAGGTGAAAAAAACCCTAAGAGCTACTATATTGACCATGATTACATACACACAGATATATATAAACAAATTAGCAGTAACTATTACCTGGTCAAATATATGGTTTTCAATTAAATGGTTTTATATCAATCAGCTAAGCTTCAGAAAAGAAAAAAGTTTCAAGACCACATGATCTTGTAATAAATGTAAGTTTCACCAGAATCATTCTACATCATTAGCATACGGAAAAACATATGCACCTTAAGCTTCTTAGCATCCCTCCCAGATTTAACCTCGCAAAGAATGAAATTCGAATAGCTTGGAAATGGATTAAGAAATGGCACTTCCTTCAGAAGCTTATACAGCCTCTCTCGCTCTTGTACCAAAGCATCTTTCACCTTCTGTAGAGGTCATCACTATATTAAAGTTAATGTTTTAAGGCATCATATAGCACAAGTATCATATAGCACCTGAGATTTAAAAAACAAAAAAAAAAAAAAACACACCTCAAGGTACGTAGGATTCTCCAACGCTGCACATGCAGAAACTTCAGCAGCAACTGAAACATTATAAGGTTGCTTAGCTCTCCAAAGGTACTCGATGATGCTCAAAGGAAATGCTCCATATCCAACCCGGAGTCCAGCTAAACCTGCAACATCATATTCTGATGGTTTTAGGACCTCATATTACAATAACAAACACAAATAAGGTTTTTTTGCTAATAAGTGATAGGATATGTAAACTTTAAACACAACTCTTCAATTTAACGTGTCTAGGCTGCTATACATTATTTGCAATTTACGCTCCCTATGGTAGTGATTTTGGAGTTCCTTTTCAAAAATGTGTTTGACTTTTCTTGTTCTAAAAACTCTTTAAATAAATGCTTTTGGAAAACTATGGTTTGGAACAACAACAACAACAAATAATCCTTAATCCCAAATTAATTAGGGTCGGCTATACAAATCGTTTGTTGCTATTCTACTCTATTCATAACTAAGTAGGCACTGATATTCAATACTATAGTTTGGAAAAAAATTTAAAAAATCTAGCATTCCCCTAGCCATGAGTTTTTTAAGCCTTAAATATTGCAAGCACAGGTTGCAAAAAGTAGCCCATCAACAATGCTAAATGGGCAAGTAAGGTGTTTACTTCCATAGAAACAATAACAAAGTTGCTTGCCAGATATTGAAGATCCCTGGATAACAGCTATAAACCAGTAGATCAATGGATGCCAATATATGGAATCTCTCAAAGATAGCATGATAAAAGACATTAGAGTAAAAGCAGAGGCAGACAATACGTACCATCGCAAAGACTAGTTATGCCAATTAAAACCATTTAATTTCATGATATTTTGTATGGGAAGAAAAGAAAGGGTGCAGTTTGTTATGACCTAGCCTAACTATCGATTGGGAAGGGAGAAAATAGAGGAAAGAGAAGGAAAGGGACAGAAATACTAATAGATAGAGAGTGAGAAAGTATATCAAGAGAGATGAGAGTGTCACGCTCGACTCTAACCACCAAAGGAATTGTCCGCTTTGGATCAAGCCAGTTCCATCTCATATTGGATTGGCAAGATCCGAACGGTTTTGTCCCGCAAGTGAAATGAAGAACACTCAGGAGGTCACCCATCCTACAATTTCCGTTAAGCGGGCACGCTTAATTCTGGAGTTCTTCCAACTCTTCAAGCCATTCCACCAAAAGACGCGTCTAATGATTAGTTTTCCCCTTTTCGATATATGATTCGATTCACCTTCCAACTCTTCAAGCCATTCCACCAAAAGACGCGTCTAATGATTAGTTTTCCCCTTTTCGATATATGATTCGATTCATTCCTGTGTCCCGCATTTCACTACCCATAGCTAGTCTGCCATCCTAAAAGCTAGCCAGGAGCTTTGCTCTACCCGCCGTCTTAGGATCGCTTTGCCCGGTCGGGATGTCACAAGTCCACCAGCTTCCGCATGGTTCGTCTTCGAACCATACATCTATTGGAGGGGGTCCGGCTCTGATACCCCAATTATTACGCCTGACTCCAACCACCAGAGAAATTGTCCGCTTTGGATCAAGCCAGTTCCATCCCATACTGGATTGGCAAGACCCGCACGGTTGTCTCGCACGTAAAATGGGAAACTTCCCAATGGGTCACCCATCCAAAGATTTCCGTTAAGCGAGTACGCTTAACCCTGGAGTTCTTCCAACTCTCCAAGCCATTCCACCAAAAAGCGCCTCTGATGATTAGTTTCCCCCTTTTGGATATATGATTTGATTCATTCTTGTGTCCCGCATTCCACTATCCATAGCTAGTCTGCCATCCTAAAAGCTAGCCAGGAGTTTTGCTCTACCTGCCCTCTTAGGATTGCTTTGCCGGGTCAGGATGTCACAAAGAAAATGGAAGAAAATATCTGAGAGAGTGTATTATTGCATTCTCTGTCAAACCAATCAGAGTCTAGTATTTACACCATGGCCTCATATTTATAATTGCAGATAGCCCAATATGCAATGCAAATACAATTCATCATATAACCCCAACTATCGATCCAATTATAGCATATAAGTCTGCACACAGTGACATCAGATGTGAATTGACAACGGAGCAAACAACATTCCTAGCAATATGAAATGTGAAGTAGAAAAGTAAAATTTGGTTTCTGACTTCGATAGCATTCCTGGTAAAGATACCAACATCAAGGATCCTAGAAGTACATTAGAAGCTATAGGAGTGTTGATTACAGAAATTTCAAGAAATCAGAGATTGTATCATGTTCATGGCACAATTTACAGGTAAAACTCTTTGAAGTCAAGCAATAATATACTGCAATGGCACAAGTTATAAAAAATCTCTGATTTCTTTGCAGCACTTATTATTGTTTGTTACTTTGTAAAAGATCAAGCCCACTATCATAAGTTTTTGAGTGAAGGGCATTAACATCTAGCATCATCAAGTTCTGTAGATAATTCCCGAGGCACACAAAAGTGAGTTTTTTATGATGCTCATACAAATGTACAAAAGTAATTTTTAAGGCACCGGACATTTTCTTACTGCTCGAAAACCTTATTCGCCAAGTAAGAGTGCATCTATAAAGGGATCTCATCCCAAAAGGTTAACCCATTGGGTATGGGTAGAAAATCCTACTTTATATGCCCATAACCACCCACATTCTCATCTGATGTCAGATTTGTGTTATGTTTGGCATGGAATAATGATAGTTATACCCAATTTAGCAGCAAACCACATTTTGTGCAATCCGATTTAACGTGATAAACTAATATGCAATTGTCAAGTGTCTGGTTATTTGATTTAAGAAGAAGTCCTTTCCATCCTGCTAGAATTGATGAAAACAAAATGTAAGACTGCTCTGTTGAACAAGCCAAACGAAAACAAAATTGCTAATTAAATTTTCTTAACAGTTGGAGATTGATTTGAAGATACTCAATTATATCAGCAGTTTGTTGCATAGACAAAAAGCGCAGTCGGAGTTACTGGAGCCAAGAACTGTAAACATACCAGCTCTCTTGCTAAATGTCCGTAGAACAATTAAATTGTCATGCTTCTTCACCCATTTCATCCGAGATTCCAATCCTGAGAACTCTATGTATGCCTCATCCAACACCACCAAGATCGGAAGATCTAGGATTTTTAGGAGATCTTCATCATTGATTATACTGTCACACAATAGATAACATGCAAAACAAAAATAATCAGAATGGTATCTTCCACGATTGTGCAGTCATACAGATCGACCATGAGTAACGAAAAGAATCAGACTGAACCAGTCCTATCAGATAATGAATATCCTTGTACACAGTTTTTCTTTTTCATTTTTCATTTTCCTGAAGAATCCTATTGAGTTGAGATCCTAACTTCACATAAAGCACAAGCAATTTAGTCAGCAATTGTTTCTTAAAATTTTATTTTACAGCACATAATTTATTGTGAGCTTTAACATTTCAGTAACCCAAATTAATCAATCTTCTGCATGGACACCAAAAATACCTTCAAATTTAACAAAGCCAGGTCAGAAGTAAGAGTTTCAACCCCCAGCATAATCCTAATATCAAAGCACAAACATCGTAATTAAAGGTGCAAAGCACACCAAGACACAAACGGCTGCTGGAGTCTAGGTGCTAGCCTCTGGGGGAAGGCACATGCCCGAGCAAGGTGAGGCTCAAAAATTAAAAATATCAGGAAAAAAAATCAGAAAAAAAAAACATGGATAAAAAACACGCAAATCAGGAAAAGAAATTGGTAACACAACAGGTTATATTTTAAGATATTGGAGTTAAAGAAAAAGGAAATATAATCAAAAACATGGAGAAAAACAGAAAGGTGCAACTTTGTTGCGCCAAGGTGGGCGCCTCTATCCAGAGGCAATCACCTCAATGAGGTCACCTTCTTCTGGACATTTGAAGTGCAAGCCTAGGCATGCCTGTAATACCTACGAGAAAAAATATTAATATACAAAATTTGGACAATAAAAGGGTAATCCTTCATAAAAACTTCATTTTTAATCAGATAGCCAATTGTTAACTACAAAGGGATGCACCAAGATCTCAATTAGCAGGTTAGAAAAAGTATACAACTATGAAGAAAAAGAAACAAAAATAACCTTCCATCAGGATTGTTTGGCGATGTTAAGAAAATGCATTTGGGGTTCTCTTGTCGAACAACATCAGAAATGAGCTCAACGTTCAAACTAAAGTCTGGCTTCCTCAAAACTGCAATAAAAATGAAAATTCTAAAATCCATATTCTGAGGTACTAAATATCAACTGACATTTGACAAGTCTAGAAATCCAGATTTCAGTAAAAGGGATCAGTTAAGCAGAAGAATTCTTAAAAAATGATCTCTAAAAAGGTAAGTTTTACTGTGCTAAAATGTCCTCTTTAGTTCTTTACCCTTTATAACTTCTGCACCATTAACTGCCGCATCAAATTGATACATTGTAAAGGTTGGAGGACAGTCTACAATTTTGTCACCAGGATCCAGTGTGCATCTGTCAAATGTATCAATGCAAACAATAAAAGGTGAGAAATTGTCAAATATTGAACTTAGCTAGATACTCTAGATATGGTCTCCCATATTTTACCGCATAATTAGATCAATGAGCTCATCCGCACCACATCCCACAAGAATGTAATCAGATTCAAGGCCAGAATCCTGGGCGAGAGCCTCACGTAATCCACGACTTTGAGGATCAGGATATATGTAAGGGAATTTCAAAGACCCCAAAGCTTCAAATACCTGCAAACAATCTGAAACCATAATAAGGGGAAAAGGGAATGATGTCTGCAGCTAAAACAGCCTTCATCCAGTAAAGAGAAAAATAAAAATTTTACACATTTTTACTACTAATTAAAGAATGTATTTTGTGAATTGCCTCAGGAGGTGGACCATATGGGTTTTCATTTGCATCTAATTTAATAATATCCTCAGGCTTCCTTCCAAGTTTAGCTGACAAAACCTGTAAAGTTAAATAATTGAAATGAGTGTCCATCACAACCATCTAACACAACCCAGCAAACTATAGCTTATCAATTTTATATGTTCTGTAAAAAAATCACTGTTTAGCAGAAGAACTCATCAAAGTTATCACAAGTTCAGCCACTTAAATACAAGGAAAAGCACAGATTATAAACCCACAAGGAATAAACTAAATCAATTATAAACTCAAGGATCATTCCAGAGTATTGAATTGGCATATAGCTAAGAGCTAACTACTAATTTCTATGTCACTTCTCCAAATCCATAGTAGATAACCAAAAACTTCACTGTCAAATCCAGTTAAATAAATCAGATACGGCAAGCAGATTCATCAGAACATAAGTTTTCAAATGAGCAAAGTAGCATCCAACCTAACTCCAAACTATGGATGGTGATTTCACAGATATCAGCACCAGCAAAAAGTTACAAATGATATATGCCTAATATATATATATATTTTTTTTTATACCAGTGCTTAAATAACAATTATTAACATTTTAAAAAAATGCAAATGCATTATGAAAATAAAATTGCCAAATGTATGATTTTTCTTTTTTCCATTGTTTGAACAGACAATATATTCACAAAAAGAAAATAACGGATAGCAGTATATAGAATATGGAGCCTACTACCCTTCACTTGAATTCAAGGATATCACACAAAGAAATATAACTTTGAAACAGAGTAAGGGAACCGCTAGAAATTTGACAATTCAACATCTATGACAAAGTCTTGAAAAGTATCTGCAAGAACCAATTGAATTGATGAAAACAAAAAAGAATATCAAATTTATTGATCAGAATTACCTCAAAAGGCAAAATGGGTTGATAAGGGGACAATTTCCTCAAATGGGAACGAATAAATGAGTCACCAGTCACCCTCTCTTCATCCTCATTGACATGTTCTACAGGTAGAGTGGAGGCCATAGAAATGACCCTTCTTTGATTATTAACTTGGAAAGAACAAATGGGTCTTTGGGGTACCAAAAATTGGTGAAGATTGCTATTGGATTTAATTAAGCAGTGAGAAGCAGTATTGTGGATATCAATCACACCCATTAATGTCTGCACATGAGATATTCCGAGAAGAATCAAACAAAGCCAACTTTCATTTCTAGGACTAACTTCGGTAAGAAAAACAAGAATAAAATTTAAACAACGGTCATAATATATGTTAATGATTGCATTAATACACAATTTGAGAGAGATTCTTGGTGGGCATATATACCTGAACGAGCAACAAGGTTCAATCTTTGAGATTTGTGATAATGGAGGAAGAGGGGAAAACCTGAATTAAACCCTAGAGATTTATCTGTGAAACAAATTTGTGGTTTTGTCTTCTGTTTCCTTTTTGGCCAAAGTCGGCAATTGTAATTTAAGAAAGATTTCTGTTTGTAGGGACTCACTTCACTTCAGTATCAGCTTGTTTTTTTATTAGTGTCTCGGGGCCAGGGAAGTCCGTGTCCAAAAGCCAATATTTTCTTAAGACCCAATATTATATATATATATATATATAAGTTTTAAAAAAATATGTTTTTTATTCATTTATTAATTTTATATTTAATATTTTTAAAATAAATATAAAATTTAACATGTATAAGACTTAATTTAATTTAATATTTTTCCAGAGAATAAAATAAATCTTACCACTTGTTAATAAATATGATATTTTTAATAATAAATTTAAATTTAAATGTAATGATTCTTAATTTAATTTAAATATTTTTTTCAGAGAAATTAAATTTAAATCTTACTCGTTAATAATATGTGTCACTTTTTAATTTTAATACTAAAATATGAATTTTTTAGTTAAATATTAGATATAAATAATAGTCATTATAATAATAATGAATTCAAATATTATTCATTTAATATCATAATCAAATTATAACATCGATTATAATTAAGTTCAAATATTAATTTTTTAATATCAATTATAAAATACTAATCATTAAGATTTTTTGATTGATGTTTAATCAGATATGCATTAAATGATTTACCATAGCTTATATGAGTGGAATGGAATAAAAAAAAATTAAAAAATTAAAAGAAAATAATATAATGTATGTAGCTTATTAATAGATTCTTGAGTAAAATTTTTTATATTATGCTATTAAAATATATAAATAAAGATAGATGTATAATAAAAAATATAGTCATTATTTTTTAAAAATGAGAACGAGAATTAGTAGATACATGTATTGAAAATAGTAGAATATATAAATATAAGTAAGAAATAAAATAAAATGAGAATTAATTAGTTTGATTTATTTTATAATTCATATAAAAAAATAACTCCCAACATCATTAAAATCTATAAAGTAAGTAATTCATTTTAAATATGATAAACTCCACCATATTTAAATACAATTTAATTCAAAAAATGAATATTTATTAAATTTACTTTTAAATTATTTATTTTAAAATTAATATAAAATCATAGTCATGTTATCATTTAAATATATAAATTAAGTAATTTATTATATCATTAGAAGCTATATAAGTAACTTACTTAATATGTTATTGATTTTTTAACCTTACACTAATCAATTATCCTTAACATAATTTAATTCAATTCAATGAATAAATAATCATAAATTCAATTTATTTTCAAATAAACATAAGGACAAATAATTAAAGCACATGTTATTACTATGGAATTAAATAAATATAAAGTCAAACAATTATAAAAATTATACATATCACTTATTTAGAATCCTATATGGCAACACTAAAGAAAAATTCGCCTGCTTTATTTATATTGATTGATTAGTCCAGTGTATATTATAAGAGTAGAGATCTTTCCCTCTATATAATTAGAAGTATTACTAATGCACAACTATACAATCCATCCTTATTACCATAGACAAGATTAATAAGTATATTAGCACATCATAAATTATCAATGTCTCCGCGTGTAATCCTAAGTACATAACCCATGCATGGCAATTTATATAATTGAATGTATTGAACAAAATTATGGAGGCGTTATATCCGTCACCTGCAACATAAAAGATACGTGCTGACGCATTAAGTTCCTTAATTTCGGTAAAATTGAAACTCGGGATGCATTTCTGAAGGTTATCTACTTTATGTATGCCCAATTGATTACAATGCTTAAACTATCCAAATAAAAGCACGATTGACAAGAATCATCTATAATAGTATTTTCGTAATTGGAACTTTTAAATAAATGATACCAAAACCACATTTTTTTTTTTTTTGACTTTTGAATTATGGTTCATATTATTAAGAGAAGAAATGAGCAATACAAGTGGGAGTATTATCCCAAGTTTGAAAACAAGCCCCACTAGGAATTGATTTAGCCAACACATGAGCTATATCATTTGCTTGTCTTCTAATCCAAGCCAAGGTGACATTAGGCAATTGGACTAATAGTAGACTAATAGTACTTACATTCAGCGATGACAACTCCCAAACTCCAGACTAGTCGGACCAGAACTCACTCAATAGCAAATGATAAAACATGTAGGACAATCAAGCTCCAAACCTGAATGGGGTCAAATTAAGGGTGGCTCGACAGCAACCAGCGATAATACCTTTCCCTAAGCGCTTAGTTCTGCGACAGTTGAGAAGAACAACCTTGCAATGAAGAATCGTATAACTCACTAGATACAATCCGCCATGGCAAGTTTTGAGATGACAGCACCAACCAGCTCCCATCCACAGAGGGAGAAGAGCGGGCATCCAAAGTTTATTTTTAAAGTTGCCAGGAGGTGGTGGAAACCATTGGAACACCTGCAGAAATACCTATGCTTGTATTTGAACCTGACAATTTCAGCTGGGCTTTCTTCCAAGATGCCGAGCATACTTCTAGCTCGACGTAACCACATAATAAGTGTCCTTCATCCCACTTGGTTCATTTTAGCTCATTACGCGCTCCAACCAAACAGTCCATAGACCCATAATAAAAACTCTCAAAAAATTCACGCCTCCCACATAACCTTTGTAAATGTTCGAAACACTCTGTAAGAAATTTGGGAAAAATTGCCAATATTAAGGTTGAACACAAAAAAAACTGCTAACTAAATTCCTGCTTTTGGAACAACTCAAGCCAAGCATGTGCTAATGTTTCCAGCTCAGCACCATAGTAAATCGCATCTATACTCAAGCTCCATTCCCCTTCTTTCCAAGTTGATTTAAAAACTGGCAGAATGTCTCGGAACCACCTCCAGAAGAAAATGCCTCACTTTCGGCGGAATTTTCAGAGACCAAAGTGAATTTCTCTAGAAAGCCTTACTGGGAAATCCAATCTTCAATATTCACATATTGAGATGCTACTATTTTGTATCCAGATGTCAGAATACTAACCCCTGAGTCTGTCCAATGCCATATAAGGGTGTCTTCCTGAAATATTTTGTAGCTAACGGAATAGAAGTAATAAGTTTCAGTAAAATTGCAAGGATTGAAAAAGACCATGTATCAGAGGCAATTCCAGCACAGGTTCCCCTTGTGTCAAAATAAGGTCTGAAAAAACCCTTATATGAGCAAACCAGCGAAGAGTAAGCATGTTAAACTCGAAATGTTATCCCTCAAAGTAATAATGGCTCGGGTCACAGACATTGAACTAACTGACCATACTCCAATTCTCACCGAAAAACCCTGACAAATAGCATCCTTAGTTGCATCAAATCCCTCTCCCATACAAACTTGGATTACGGCCAACGCCTGCACAAGAAAATTTCCACTTAGAAAATATTTAGATTTGAAAAGAACTATTAAAGGAAGAATTTGTAATTATGGTAAGAGCCTCCACAGCTAGTTTTCCTAACATGGCTAGATTGAAGCTTTGCAATGTCTGAAACCCAAACGCCTCACTCCTTTCCCTCGCTACCACACAGCCTCTCCCAACGCAACCATCTCAATCTTTTCCTCCCCACCAATAAGAATTCCATTAATCTTGTAAATCTATAAGATGCGACACTGGTATAGAGGAAAGCCACTCATACAGAATGAAAGGAGTCAGCTTGTGCCTATAAGACTTTATTACGCACCTCTTTACCCGCTTGGACAGAACGTTTCTTGGTTCCAAACCAACTGACCAACTTCCCTCACTCGATCCTTCAACGAAAGAAAAAAATATGCCTCCTTTCCGACCAATTAAACAGAGGTAAAGCTTAGATATCTTTTCCCATGGTTTCAAAAGGAGCAAAGCCACACCAAACCCCTTTAAAAACGGCAATCTTCATCCAATCCGGAAAGTGTTTTAGAGCTGAAGAAAATACCGGATTTTTGCCAATTAAACCGCTTGAAACCCGAAGCTGCTTCAATAAGTAACCTAGCAATACTTTTTTAATCTTTAGAGCCTTGAGTCCGTGATGCCTTAAAAAAAACAAAACTAATATCCGCAACAACAATTGGAGATAAATCGAGGCGCAGCTCTCGAGACTCTAATAAGAACTCTATAAGCTTTCAATTTTAGAACTTACTAAACAGCTTTGACAGTTCCTCTCCGGCACAGAGAATCAAAATACGTTAAGGGAAGATAATGGAAACCCTTGTCCTCAACCCCCCGTTTCCGGAATAATTGGGCAACTCATCCCCATTCACTCCAACCGAGTATTTAAACAAGGAAACACACAACATGAATCAAGTCAACCCAACACTGGCTAAAACCCAAGCCCTGCATAACAAGCATGTAGATAGCACTAGTTAACGTCTGTCATAGGCTTCAAGAAAAATGTCAACTTCAGTGTGGAAGCTTCCTTATCGCTATCCATCTCTTGTTTTCATAGAGTGGATTAACCTCAAAAGGCAAACTAACACATTATCCCGAAATCAATTGAACCTGGAGACAAAAAGCCGACTGAGATAATGAGATACAAGATTAGATAGGATGGTCTTAGCCTGTTTGCCAAAAATCTTAGCAAACACTTTGTAAACTAAGTTACAAAGTGAAATAGGTGAAAGTCCTTCACTGCCTCTGGGCTCTTCTACTTAATTTGGAATCAGCAAAAATTAAAGGTATCAATTCAGATTATCAGAAAAACAACCTGCATTAAACCAGTCTCGAAAACCTTGAAACAAATCATGGCCCACAATATCCCAAACCTCTGGTAGAAATCTAGGCAAATTTAATCCATCTATCCCTGGGCTTTTATCCCGCATGCATCTGTTTCACTAGGCCAATTTAAACCTCATCCACTGAAATACTCTTTAAAGAAAGCAATAAGGTTATCATTATCCGAAACCAAATGAGAGAATAAACCCACAACGGGCTTAGGTTAGCAATCCCCTGTGAACCCCTACCCTGACAAATACAGGCATATGAGCATGTAAAAACTAAAGGGCAGAAATGCACGTGAATGTATGAGTCCGCCAACCCATTGTTTATTTAATTTTAGGGTAAACTCAGGAAAAACCCTAAGTGACTCCAATTTTTTAATTAACCAATTGCTAGAT